TGTCATACAAACATACATATGTATGTATTTACATATGTATGCATATATACATATATGCACATAGTCTAAGAGTCATATTTATTACTTCTTCATTTGTCATAAATGCCACATGAATATCAGCGCATAATATCGACCGGTTAAGTTGCTGCTGTTCATTGACAGAGAGTGTCCATGCGCGCCATAAAAAGCATACTTGTCGTACTCATATTTCTTTCCGGCAATGATGAATAAGACAAGTTTGTGCTGCCGTTTTGTCTTTTAGTCACTTGGTTGCCTAAAAAAAAAAAACTTGTTTTTGTTTTTCTTCCATATTTACATTGCCAGCGAAAATACTTGTTTAATTAACTACGAATATAAAGTTGTAGTTCCATAAAATGTAGACCGCTTTAACTGCTTATTATTTAATAAGAAGATACTCTCTCTATTTTCAAACACATAGCAGTTGGAAATTTTCATTAAATGTTAGTTGCGTGCTACTCGTTGACGGCAAGTTTCAATAAAATTAGCCCTAAGGTTGAAGATCAAAAGGTGTTACCATAACTTTATTAATGCATTATTTTTCTTGAACCACAATACCGCACATACATATATGTAAATAGTACATTATTTTTATTAGGGTGCATCGCTCTCCATAAAAAAAAAAATAATAATAATAATAATGGTACGGATTTTCCATCGGGGTTTTAAAATGTGTTATATCTTACGTGGACTGGAATGATTTGGAAATAATTCCAAAAGCTCTCATTATTTTGACTACGTTAATAAAATTGTGAAACAGTTTTATGCTGATCTTTTAAGCTTATATTCTTCTACCCTCTGAGGCGATTTTTTGGAAAAATATTTATAAAACCAGAGAATTTTATTTATAAAAAACTCGATTTTTGGGTGGCCTTTGCAAATCGGTGTAGCACACGTAAATTTGAATATTTTGCCGAAATATTTTGTCGGAAGTCTAAAAACAATTTTATAATTCCGGCGGAAAAATCACGTATTTTTTTGTGAGGCACCCAAATGTGCACATCTATGTATACTAGGGTGGTCCTTAAATGTAGGAAGCAAATTATTAAATCAGATTTCCTCTACGTCGATGCTACTATAGTCGAAGATATCGCATATTAAATTTGGGCCCGACTGGAGTCGGTGATATCAGTGACCGTGGAATTGCCGATTGAAGGGGTGAGACTGAAAAAGTCGCTCATTTGATTTTTTTAAGGACCACCCTAATGTACACGTATTTATGAGACGATAAAAACGTAAATATTTGCGAGTAGATATTTCTTTGCTTTTTATGGATGCCCATATTAATTTTTTTTTTTTAAATTGAAATGAACAAAGTCCATTTGCAACCTCTCGATTAAAGTGATGAAAATTGATTTGGGTCACAAGTCCTTACAATGCTCCTCATTGCAGTAGGATATCTGTAAAGAAGGCGCCCTACGGTTTGATTTTCGTTTTCGTTCTTGCAGTTTCTATAGACTTCAATTAAGGCGATGACCCGCCGACTACAGCGTGGAAGTCAAACGACCAATGCCCTGTAAGAAACGCTACTAACCTCACAACGTAAGGTCTAGGTTTTTCTAACAGGATGTACGTTCTTTTAGGGTTGTTAGCGTGCCACCTGAATTTGACTCGCTCCGATCGCCTGGCCAAAGATTGTGCTGAAAAATGTCCCTGAACATAGTTTCGAGTGGGCCGAATACTCCTTGGCTATCCCATCATCAGCCTCACTCCGAGCATGTTGTGATAACCCGACTACTACCTAGAACTGACCAATAAGGATCTTTTAAAGAGTTCCTTAATCAGCTTTGCGCGGCTATCGCGAAAGATGGTGACCCGCTCGCCTTGAAGGTGCGTAAGCTGCTATACTTTCACAGCTTTTAGAGTAGAACTCCACAACAAGCTTTTCAAGCGTTGTATAGCTAAGTAGAGCGCTGAATGCCTAAAAACCTTGTCTTGAAGTTTTACTCTTACAGCCTTCGGCGGAAGCAAATACTTCTGCCTAAGGATCACCAACACAGACAGATTAATCTTCTTAATTCCAGCAAACTGAAATCTTTCGCCCTTCCCAACCGCTGCAGCGAAGCCAAGAGCTTTAGCTGAAGTGAAACCCTGTATGCGTCCATATAAAATATAGAGAAAGCTCTAGAAAGTTGGTTATTCTTTAGGTGTTTTGTGACCAGAGAAAGGTGTTACTCTGTACGTACTCATTAAGTATTCTGGAAGCTTTTGAAAGCTTTAGCAGCAGGCGTTTTGAACACCACTGTTTTACGTTTGTTAACAACTTTCTAAAGGCGCTTTTACTAAGGTACGTCTACATCAGTGTTGGCCAGAAAACGCTTTCACTCAGTGCGCATTTATGTATGTCAAATCTTCACTACCAAAACGTAACACGCGCAAGATGATTTTTTAAAGAGATCGTTTTCAAAGCTTTCTAAAGGCGCTTACATACGAAGTGAAAGCTCTCTTTATATAGACATGCAACGATAAAAGCTCTCTGCTCAATATATGTAAATATAGACTGCGGGCAAAGCTCTTTTAAGCTTTCTATCGCTGATATAGACTTATTTTAAGGAGATACTTAGAACTTTTATAGCGTGCTTTCCTCTACAAAAATAAAGCTTAAGCAGAGTTCTGCACGTCAACAAGACGCTGCTTAACATCAAATTCCACGAGGGGCGCTTTTCAAAGTTTTTTATGAATTACATATGTATATGGACCGGTGACGATTAAATAGATCTTTCACTCTGTGAGCGACCACTTCGCAAAGCAAACTTCGAAAAGCTTCTGTCATGGGATATGTTTTGGTCGTGACTGCCATAGTAACACGTTTTAGACCCGAGTTGACCACAGTAAAGCTCTTTCTGTGCCACACTTGGATGAAGGAGAAAGCGACTTATTAGCTTTAATAAAGTGTAAAATTTCTTCGTTTTTTTTTTTGTTGAACAAAAGCCTTAAACTTTTTTATATGAATTGACTTCATTAAATTACTCAGTTACGCTAAAGACAAACAAATGTAATTTCCATATTTTCTACTCTGCTGAAGCTACAGATAAACTTAAGCGACAACACAACTGAGACACATTCAATTAAATTTGTTCAGACCGAAGAGTGAAATTCATTTTGTCCACAAGTGATAAAAAGTAGTTAGCCCAAAAAACTAAAAAAAAAGGAAATAAGAACCTGTTGCAACACATTAGAAGCCGTTGCGAGTAACACAAAGTGATATGCGTGACCTACATACCAAACTACTCGTAGTTATTTATGTGACTGTGACCACTGTTAATAAATATCTAAGTAAGTTTGTATTTAGCTGTTTATGTATGTATGTTTTTTTTTTTTTTTTGTATACAGATGGCTAACCAGTTGATCAGCTTAGCAGACGCAATGTAAGCGACGAGACGAGATTTAAACAGTCAACAGCCAAAGCCAACATAAAACAGCTGTGACAAGTTTTTAACGAACGAAAAGAAGAGAGTAAAGCTTAAAATAAATTTAAAAAAAAAATAGAAGAAAACCTGTCTGCAGGAATTTATTGTTGTTATGCCGGCTACTGCACTCCAAAATATTTCCACTAAAAATCATGAAAATTCTTGGAAACATGAATATGATTAAAACTCCTTTGTGTGTGTGCGCGCGCGCTCCATCAGCCCACAAAACGCTTTTAGCATTTACTCACCGCTTGGACGTTGTGGAGCTTGGCTGGCTGTCAAAGTGTAAAGCGCGTGCCCCAACAAAGCCACAAACGTAGCCAATTATGGCAATGAATCACCCACCAACACAGCAAGGGGCAAGGGGCAAGGGATGCGAGGTTCAAAATGTAGCGGTTGATCGCACTCACCAGCGGCCAAAAGCAGAGCTTTGATAACTTCTGTTTTTTTTTTTTTATATATTGGTAAACATTCGTCAGGTTTGAGCGCCACTTGGAGATGAGTTGGAACTGAGAGCTGGGCATTGTCGTTGTGAGTACAGCTTACTCATTTTCAATTGAGCTGCGAGTGAAGAAATATGAAGCGTGTAGAGAACTTGTTTTATAACGCTTGCTCTAAATACTTCCATATTCGCTCTTTTCGTCTGCCTTTCTCACATTTTTGCTTATTTAAGCGGCCGAAATTTTATCATAATATTTAGTGATAAAATTGAGCGGCGTTGACACTTTTTTTGTGTGCTCATGTTGGTTTTGCAATTAACTCTTTATAAAAAAATAATGGGCATTTATTCATTTACTTCATTTAATCAATTTCTTCGGAATACCTTCGAGTTGTTTTTCAGCTTAAATTTTTATTTTATTTTTTAATTAAACATAGGTTAGTTCCTCTTTAAAACCGATTTCTCAAAAAACAATTGCATCGTCATCAAGTTTCAGCAAACAATTTTTTAATAAATATTTACGTGAAGCATTTTACGCCAGAGCCAGCGTCATCACCGACTCTTAAGGATATGAGTCACAGAGTTATTTTAAATCACAGAAGATTTCTAAAGGGGTGCTGTCGGTAAAAGGCGCTGAAGTACTGAAGTTTTGCTTGCAAGACATACAGTGACTTACAATATATATATATGTACGAGGGACGTTCAATGTATTCTCGGTATCGGTGTTATTTACTATTCATGTTGGTAATTTAATAATTGCAATAAATAGTTACATTACTTCATGTTAAAGTGTGTTTGCATTGTTCAACATTTGCGTTCAACTCAAAAAAGTGGTATGGCTAAAAATATCAAAATATGAAAAAATATCAAAATATTCGCCATAAAAAGGTGTTTGCATTGTTCAACTTTGCATTCAACTTTTGGTTGAATGGCCTTTCAACTAATCGCTTTCAACAAAGTTGGTCGCCAGCCAACATTTAGCCATTCAACTTTTTTTTCGTGCAACCCTGCGTTGAGTTGAACGCAATTGTTGAACGCAAAGTTGAATAATGCAAACACTGCTTTACAAATACAATATTTCACATAATTACGGACGTTCTTTATCTAGTAGTCCTCGGAGAAAGAAGACCGGAATGGCTGACGCGACAATGTTGAAGAAAATCGAACACCACGCTGTGATTAAATTCCTCACAAAACAAGGAAAAAGTCAAAAAACTATTTTCGAAGAAATGGTGGCTGTCCATCACGATTTTGCACCTTCATTATCTACAATACAAAAGTGGTCAAGTGAATTTAAAAGGGGCAGGGAGAGTATTGAAGATGACCCTCGCTTAGGCGGCCCCGTTACTGCCGTTACACAAGAAAATGTGGAAGAAGTTGCGAAACTTGTACTGGAGGACGCCCGAATAAAGGCTAAGTTATTAGCAGAGAGAACTAACCTATCCGTAGGTACTATACACACTATTCTTCATGATCATCTTAATCTCTCAAAAGTGAGTGCAAGGTGGGTACCGCGAATGCTCACATCACACCAAAAGCACGTGAGAGTGGAGTGCAGTAGAGAGTTTTTAAAGCTTTGTGGGGAAAATTCTACAAGAATTTTGGACCGTCTTGTTACTGGAGATGAAACATGGGTTCATCACTATGACCCTGAAAGTAAGCAAGAGTCTATGCAGTGGCATAAGAAAGGTGCAGACCCCCCTAAAAAATTTAAAGTCACTCCATCCGCCGGAAAAATCATGGCCACAGTGTTTTGGGATACGAGAGGAATTTTATTGATTGAGTACACGAAAAAGGGTGAAACCATCAATGCAGCATCTTACGCTACCACTTTGCATAATTTAAGGGAAGCAATCAAAGAAAAAAGACGGGGAAAACTGGCTGCCAGTGTCTTGCTTCTTCATGCCAGCGCTCCGGTTCACACAGCGCGTGTTTCGAAAACCGCTATACGAGATTGTGGCTTCGAAGAAATCAATCACCGACCGTATAGCCCAGACCTGGCCCCTAGTGATTTCTTTTTGTTCCCGAATTTGAAAAAGGATCTTCGTGGAAAAAAATTTTCTGATGGTGAAGAGCTCAAGGCGGCAATAAATGCTCATTTTTCGGACAAGGAGGAAATATATTTTTTTGAGAGCATTGAAAAATTAATTTCAAGAAATAATAAGTGTATTGAGGTTATGGGGAGTTATATTGAAAAATAAAAATATATTGGCTTTAATTCGAGTTGTGTTTCATTGCGATATCGAGAATACATTGAACGTCCCTCGTATATACATATGTATGTAGATCATATGGTAGACATCAATTCTAACAAATAGGGCGTGTTTCCTTATTAAAAAGTGGAATTGAATTCTTGTGCAGCGACCCCAGGAATCCCTGAAATAGGGATTTGGTCGCATTTATTTGAATATTGTTTACATCATTTTTGAAGAAAACCTACATTTTTGGCGTCACGCTTTTCCGTAGACAGTTATTTTGAGGTTACACAATGCTGAGACACCTTTAAGCATCAAAAATTACACTTCATGACAAGTTTTTTCATGGGCTCAAAACATCTTTTTCACCACAGGAAAAATGGGCAGGTGGGGTGGCCTTTTTTGAAAAAGAATTCGCCATATACATACATATTACCATTTCATACAGTGTTCAATATCTGGCAACAGGGGTATTCACACTCGCACAAAAGAGCTGATTACCTCAAATTAACGAAAGTTGCTAAAGTAGTGGCTTGAGCTCTAATCAGCTCTTTTGCCCCAGTGCCAGGGCACTTGCTCAATGTACTCTCGTGATTTTGTTCGCTGGTTGCTATGAAATTTGCAGCTGCTTACTTTTACTCGCCACAGTTTCTTGCAGCTCATTCACCCTTCCCCATTAGTAAATACTCTTCGATACTTAAGCAATTGATATAAAAACGAAACTATTTCAATCATTTTCAAGATGAAGTGGCCTCAATTAACCTTAATTGTTTGGATGTTTTAGGGTGATTCGGGTTAAGTGTGGCCCATAATGTTGTGCTACTACAATCGTATATATGTATGTACATATGTACAAGTGTAGACAAATTGTTGAATAATAAAAATATACTTGGCGAGAAAATGTTGAATTTGGTATTTTTGAAATAAATACAAACATACATTTGTACTTATGTAGATAAATGCACTTGTACATACATATTTACAGTAAATACTTAAAAAAATCTAAAAACTGCCGAGTCTAAAGTATTTTTGCAATAGCGAAACATTTTTTGAATTTTTTCTTTGGTCGAACCTAGGGGTCGGCTTTTCAAAGTTTTTCAATGACACCACCTACATTTGGCAATAAATAATTAAATTTTACGAAATTTTTTTACTGGAGTAATCAAAATACTTCGTTGGCAAAAGTTTAATGGTTTTTGGTAAGCTTTCATTTTCTCACATTAGGGTAATACGACGATGGTAGGAACTGAGATCTAGTTGGCAAGTACTAGTAGAACAGTGTGCTTGAGGTCAATGAACTTTGGAACAAAAAAATCTTCAAGCCGAGGATTTGGCGATAAATGTAAAAAGGCGACCCCTACGTTCCGACAAAAAGAATTTTTTTTTTGCTTTGCAAAAATATTTTAGACTCAGCGGTGTATGGCGAACTTCTTTTCTGCTGCATGGAATATTTTTAAAGTACATTTGTATATACATAGTCGTTTTTATAAAAAAAAAATGTTTTCCCAATTTTTTTTTTTTTTATAATTTAAGTTATCTTACATTCGAAATTGAAAGAGAACCTATAATAGAAATATGTACCTACGATATGATTCGCGGCGCTTATCTTATCGCATATTAACACCGCTACCTACTGAAAAGTTATGAAAATTGATTATATACACAGATATATGTACACAAGCACATATGTGTATGTACATGTATACACGGATGTGTATGCAACTGTATTGAGAAAGACCGATAAAGGCAACGAATAAATAACCAACAAAATTTTATTTGCGAAAGAGCGAATTTATCTTGAACAAATAAATTCTTTAAATTTCTGTAGTTGCTAACGCAGCTGATGTTGGTTGGTTGAGGGCCATTATTGCACATTCGACTTTTGATTTCGTAATCAACTTATGAAGAATTTCACAAAGCTTTTTAACCATTCCTGCAAGCCACGAGAATTTTCAGTTATTATTTTTTGATGAAATTCAATATGAATGAACGTTTTTTTTTATTAAAATGCGTATAAATCTAAGTACAATGTTAAAAAAAAAAAATGTAATTCAATTTCTGAGAAAAATTTTTGCTGAATAGTTTTGTAGCCCATTCAGTTTACCTATAGCAATATTTGTCTATTAGCAATGGATTTTCTAAAAATTAAATATACAATTTTTTCTTTTTAAAGCAATAAAGGCTATAAATTAAAAGTAAATTTAATTAAAAAGGAAAAAAAGAAATAAATTTAAAAAAAGAAAAAATGAAATAAGTTTCTGAAAAATATATAGTTGAAAAATATATTTTTATTTTTAAAATAATATATCGAGGGTTTGTATTCAATACAACCTATCTACAATTTTCACAAAAACTACCATCACGTACTTAACCGTCATCGCTGTTGTTAATTTTAACTTTGCAATTCAGTAATAAATTCTTCTAACAAGCAATTATACTTGGTCAGCATTATCATCATAGATGACAGTTATGTTTTAGGTGGCTTTTTATATTAAAATAAAATTTTCCTCAAAATTGCATAAAGGTTGTATTGAATATAAACCCTCTATATGCAATCTAAAAATTAAAAAAATAATTAAAAAATAAAAAAATAAAAAAGGTTCCTCAAATAAAAATAAATAAAAAAAAAAATTTAAGTGAAAAAATAAATAAAGCTGAAATTAAATTAAAAAAAAATGTTTTTAAAACAGTAAAATCTCGAAATTAAGTAAAAAAAAAGAAAAGAATAAATTAAGAGAAAATATAAAAAATTGAATTAAAAATAATATATTTTTTCTTTTAAAACAATAAAATCCAAAATTTATAAGAAAATGTAATTAAAAAAAAAAAAGTTAAAAAGAGAAAAAATAGTAAAATAAGTTCCTACAAATTGAATGAAATTAAAACAAAAATATATTTCCCGTTTAAATATTTTAATCTTTAAATAACAAGAAAATTAAATTAAAACAAATAATTTTTAAGCGAAAAAACAAAACCGACCTCATGCTCACATAAAAATTTAAGAGTACCGTTAATTCCTTCATGATCCAATGACCTTTCTTAAAAAAAAGAATTGCACAAGTCGGTTAATGTGGTCCAAAGTTATGCGGTAACATAAAAAAAATAAATATTCCGACGAATTGATAACCTTCTTTTTGGAAGTCGGTTAAAAATAATAAATATGTTCTTTAAATTAAATGAAAAAATATATATTTTTTCTTTTAAAGCCGGTTAAATTTTTTGGTACATGGGGACGATTAGGTATCGAAAATGTCTTTTTAAAATTTTATCCTTCAATATCCTTGAAATGTTTCGATAATTATTTTTGAAAAAATTATACGTTAAGGACTTAATATACACTCGACCACATCTTCGAAATTCATGCTTCTAACTTTATTAGCTTAAATTAATTAAAAAGGCATTTTCAATACCTATTCGTCCTTGCTTTTTTATTCTACAGAATTTTGTCTTTCATTTTGTACCCATACCTTTATTCTATTTGCACTAAATTTTTTAAATAATTTTTGGAATTTGAAACTACAAAGTCTTTTAAAAAACATTCTGACGTCAGAGAGAAAAACTAAGTACGCAGTTTTACTATAATTTACCCATAGTTTCGTAAGTATATTGATTACTTCGTGTGTTTCGACATTTTTTTGTTTTTGTCGAACGGTGTTATCATTCGATTTTGAAATTGGCAAAAGTTTGCTTGTAGAAAGAGGTCACTCAACGGTGACATTTTTTCCATTACTTATAGCATACATTTGTGCATACTATTTATGCATATGTGTATAAATATGTACAAAGCAAAATTCGATTTCGCAAAACTGTATTCTTTCCTCTTCTCTTCAGCACACAGTGCTGCCTTCCTTTCATCCAAATTACTCGCACGATAATTTTGTTTACAATTTAGCGTAACATTTCCGGTGTCGATGGCAACGCATTGCCGGTGTACCTACTCGTATTTTGGAGTTGCTGCTCCAATTGGTGTCTATGCATGTGTGCGTATGTATGTATGTATGTATGTAAATACGCCGGCGTTGTTGGCAGACATTCCACTGCGCCCTCCTTTGATTTGGCGCAGCTGTTGTGGAGGAAGCAACGCCAGCACTAGCAGCTGCTACCGGAATGATACGCATGTGCAGCCATATATGTAGCTTGGCCGGGAGTGTGGTGTGTGTGAGTGTGCCAACGATAGCAGCAGTAGCAGCAATTGAACATCGATAAAACTTAAAAAAAAAAAAAATAAATTAACAAAAACATCGACCACAAAACACTGAGAACATGAGCATGCCTAAGAATAAGAGCAATGCGAGCGAGACCTGCAATAAGTATTTGGGGAATTGTTTGAATACCCAGCAAACAATTAGGGTTTCCTCTTTAGTTCAATTTTAAAAATTAACTTTATTTTGGAACGAATTTCCTTCATTGCGGTGTCAAGTTTGGTTTGTTGTTTTGACGAGAGATGACGGAAATTTGGACGGACTTTTTTAGTTCTCTATTCTGGCCCACCGAAGTGGTTTTACTTAAAAAAAAAAATGCATCCAGGGTGGAGCATCGGAGAAAAAATTGGCTATTATTTAAGTATTTACTTTGTTTACAATACAATGTTCGCTGGGAAACTCATTCATAAGCTATTTACGCACTTGCAGCTATGCACCCAATCACGCAACATGCACATACATACATAAATATCTTTCCAACAAGTGAAATGCACACATTTTTCATGAATTTTCTTTTCTGTTTTTTAATTTGCAGCGCAAACCGGTGCAATACATTTTCCGACAAAATTACAACAGCAACAGCAACACGAACAAACTAGGAAAACACGGAGCTAAGTGAAATATTAGTGCCAACTGCAGCAGAAACATATACAACAACAACAACAAGAGCAACAACAACAACATGGCGCGAAGTTTACGTCCCCTTAAGATCACAATCGTCGGCGATGGTATGGTGGGCAAGACTTGCCTACTCATTACATACACACAAAACGAATTCCCCGAAGAATACATACCCACGGTGTTCGATAATCATGCCTGCAACATTACGGTCGATGGCAATGAATACAATCTGACACTCTGGGATACAGCTGGGCAAGAGGATTACGAGCGTCTGCGTCCGCTGAGTTATCCGAATGTAAGCAAAAAAATTAAAAAAAAAAAAAAACATAAAACATCAGCATTCCATTGAAGTTGTATAAATTCCTTTAAAACATGCATTTCATTGATTGTGTTTCCCTTTTTTATCTTTTCCCGCACAGACGAATTGCTTCCTGCTTTGCTATTCGATAAGCAGTCGAACATCATTTGAGAATATCAAGAGCAAATGGTGGCCCGAGATACGGCATTTCTCCAATAATGTGCCGGTTGTGCTGATCGGCACAAAGTTGGATTTGCGGGTACCCAATTCGGAAAAATTTGTGACAACCAGCGAGGGACGTCGCCTGCGTAAGGAAATCCATGCGCATTCTTTGGTGGAGTGTTCGGCTAAGAAGAAGATCGGTTTGAATCAGGTGTTCGAGGAGGCCGTGAGGGCGGTTGAGAAGAAACCAAGTACTAAGGCGAAGCAGTGTATTTTGCTGTAAGCGTTGGTTAGGAGATGCAAATGGAAACGCTAGAGTGTTGAAGCAGTAATTGCAATAGGAGTAAAAAAGAAAAAAGAAAACAACTAAAAAAAAAAAATGCGCCCACTACAAAACACTCGATTCACTGCTGGCAATGCATTTGTTTCACGTGTTGCGTTTTATGCGCCTAAAAGTCGACTACTTTTTTCAAGCAACGACGACGCAAGTGCGTGCTGAGTGAGGAGTGTAGTAAGTTTTTGAAGTTGTTGTTGCGCGCAGACAAGTCTAGGAAGTACGTAAATACAGCAGGGCGGGTAGAGAGAACTTTGAGTTCTTTCAAAATTTGTTTTTATTATTGTATTCTTTTTAAAAAATATCTAATGTAAAATATTTTATTTGAAAATATAAATGAATTATTTTTACTTTTAGTATTTTAAGTGCATGCAATTGTATACACAAACGTATTTATTTTTATTAAAAAAATATAAAATTTGAATATGTATGAACATGTATATCAAGGGTTCAGTCCACCAGCGTATTAAGTTTGATGGAATTTGAAGAATGAAAATTTTATAAATAATACAAATAAGAATAAATTTTTACAATAATACTTGTGTATGTATGTATGTACATATCGATGGCCTCTGCCATAACGACGCAACACAAAACTCAACAAAAGTGAAACCTTTATAACTCTTTACCCTCTAATGTCTTTAATCCTCAACCAATCCATGTCTAATCCTTGCCACTTAATTTCTTAATCGTTACTACTTATTTTAGTAACAGTAGATAGGGTTTAGACAAGGATTAGAGGCTTAAGCCGTTTAACATTTTTTTTTTGTCTTTTTTTTTTAATTTTGAGCTGTGTCGATATGTACATTACGGTGGTCCAAAAATGTCCATCAAAATCGGATTTTTGAAAGTTTCCAGCTGCCATCGCAGATATATAAAAAAAAATGAAAATAATCATATTTTTATTTGATCAAAAATTTTAATTTTAAATGATTTTATAGCAATACTACGAAAAACTGTATTTTCCCCATATAAAATATTAATAAAGATCGGATTCGTATAGATTTGTATTGAAAATTTTGCGAAAAGCTTGAAAAAATGGCTATAAGAAGTTTTTTTCCTCTCCTGTACAATTTTTAAATTGGGGCTTAGCAAATTTTATATAAAAATACTACAAGCATTAAAGTCCTCGTACATATATATTTAGGTATGTACATAAATAACTAAAGTTCATTAAAATATTTTCCTTTTTTTCAAAATAATAATCCAAATATTGTTAAATTAAAATATTTTACCCATAAATTTAATAAAAATTTTACACTAGTCAATAAATATATGACTTTTGATTAATATGTATGTATGTATGTATGTATCTGTTGTCATAGAATATTCAATAAAGTTTTCCGGCTGTCGGCCATCTTACAACACTCTTGTGAAAGCCTGGTACCCCATCTGATGAGCATATTTATAAAATCAGGCGTATGCACCCAAAAGTTGGAGGGAGGTGAGAGTGATAGCAGGAAAGCTAAATCCGTCATCCGTAAAAGATTTTACTCGCATAGAACATCAACGCACCATGGGGCCGTTTGACTTTTTTCGTAGCAAAAATTTTAAGAATTTAAATTAAATATCCAAGCTTTGAAATAGATGAAAATATGGGGTGCTACAACAAGAGGGGGCAATGCAAAAACTTATTGTCAAACGGCCTCCCCTAAAATAATGTCCTCTTAATACGCCTAGCGCTGTTGGCGGTTGTGTAAGAATAGCGGTGCAAGTATTTGATGCCTTCCAGCTGTAAATCAAAGCTCAATGGGTTTTCGAGGTGCTGTTTGGTTCCGTATTCAAGATAACTTAGGTGCCCTCTTGGGTGTGCTGGCGGTGGAGCTCATAATGTTACATATAATTGCTTATCGCATTGGTATGCGCCGAGAGGGGTGGGCCTTTATTGAACGTCACATAAAGGGTCAGCTTTTCATTGGCTTTCCAAGATATTCAGAAGTTATATTTTAACGAATGCAAAAAAAAACTTCATGCCGTCTTTTGCCACTGAAATGCAAACATATGTATGTACATATTATTTGCACACTTTCCTAACGTGAAAGGTTATTTTCATTGAAATATTTTGTACTAACCTCAAGTATAAAAATCTTCCATATAGTCGAAATAACCGGAAAAGGCTGCTCAGCCTACCGGATTTCTGGCAAACTAATCAAATTATTTAAACAAATTTCTACGCTAAGGTTCAAACAACTTGTCAGTCTGTGGGCATTTGTTTAGCAAAATGTATTTCACTAAAATATTGAAATAAATACACAAAACACTTCCGACATAAACACATGTGTAGTTGCAATTTCATATTTGTTTAAAAGTTCCATTAAAAAAATTTGCAAGCTGCAAAATTAAGTTGAATTTACTCAACTTCCGGAAAGTACACTATTTTTGGCGGATTTTCCTCGATACTCGTTAGAGACTCGCTCACTAAGCCCAATTCATGTGCTTCGCTTACCAGCACTGCGCCAAACAGCTGACGCCAGCTGTCAAACGCAAATCAACCAGTGATGTGTCAACAGCGGACGTGGTTTCCTAGCATTTAGCATATACAAAAAAAATCTATTAATTATTGCATTAAGTAAAGTGGCTGCCTTACTATTCCAATTCGACTTTTGTAAATGTAGCAACCAATTCCAAAAGTACGTACCCACCAAATAAAATGGACATAACGCAAAAATTCAAAGCCGGTGTAATGACAGTGAAACTGCAACGCAAAGGTGAGCTCCCACCGCAGCCATTGGACAAACAACGAATTCTATCCAAAAGCGGCGTTGGGCTTTCTGTCGGACAACGTGACGAATTCTCACGCCAAGCAAAGGATGTGTGCCACAAAATAACCACATTGCGTAATGTGCTGGTGGAGAATAGGGCGGCGTACATGCGCATCGGTCAACACCTGAAGAGTGCGACACACATGACGGACGAACAACGCGACCTCATAGACCGCGAGTCGGAAAAGTTTGTTACATTTTACACCCAACACTTGGCACAAATGCGTGCCGATTGGAAACGTGCAAAAAGAAAACCACAACAGCAGCAACATATGGAGGCGGTACTAGATTTATTAGAACGCTATTTGCGCAGTGTGCAGCAAATCTATTTGGATCAAAAACGTTATCGTGTACAGTATGAGCTGGAAACGTATAAGTTATTAAAATTGGCAGCTGATAAAAAGAAGATACCAGTGCGTCCGGCTGGTGAGCACAGTGGGCGACGCGTGATACGGCACTCTCCAAGTAGTACCACCGACGATGAAGATATTCCTGATGATTTACGACCACAAAAAAGCTTGAGTGATGAAGCTTTAGACTTGCAAGGTGATTGGCTAGATGATGATGATTTCGGTGACAACGACCGCGGCAACAAAAAAGTCATTAATAATGCAGCCGATGGTAAGTTGAATGGTTATAGTTACGTTGATAAAAGCACAAAAGTGAGTGGACCGCAATTACGGCATCGAAATCCACATGCTGAAGATGAAGAAAACATTGGTAGCGGTGGCGAGCTAAAGACGACACAATCATCGCAAAAGGTGGCGCTAGACGAGGACATACAAAAATCGCAGCAATTAGAGGACGAGGCTAAGAAACTTTCACCCGAAGATGTGCAAATGTACGAGCAAGAAAATGTGCAGCTATATCACGAATTGCAAGGGTTGGTGGAAGAGGTGGAACAGATCGAGAAGAATGTGGTGGACATAGCGCAGTTGCAGGATATCTTTACTGAAAAGGTGCATATAATTGTTAATTTTTCGTATTTGATATTAATGTATTGGCGCATACTTTTTCTTCAAAGGTCTCACTTCAACAACACAACATCGAACGCATTGCCAGCGCTGTGGTTGGCGCAACAGAGAACGTCAAAGACGCCAATGAACAAATCCAGCAAGCTATACAACGCAATGCTGGCCTACGTGTATGGTCATTGTTTTTCCTTTTAGTAATGTCGTTTGCCTTACTCTTCCTCGACTGGTATTACGATTAAAATCGCAGTGCCTGTGGATTAATTTATGAATAGGTATGCATGCGGTATTAAATATGTATTTAAGCAAATGAGTGCACACGCACACAAAAGAAAAAAAGAAAGAAATCTATAAGCAAAATGCTGTACGTTGATAATTTTTGTTGTGAATTTTAAGATATTGTAATATGTACTTGTACTCTTGGGAATGAAATTATTTATGGTATTTTTTTTGTTACAGGTAGTAATATTAAAGTTCACTTCAAGAATTTCTGATTATATTTAGTCACATTTGCATAAAATAACGGAGTTAGTTTGTGAAAGCTACATGAAAAATAAGTTTTGTACCAATCTTAGCCTAAGTAATCACAAGATGATAAACTAGTAACTATATAATTTGTATCGTAACATTGCAATAATAAATGGCTGTTTTACAGCACTTAGTGAACTTACGGGTAAATGAAAATTTTAGTCTAGTTTTTCTTTTATATAGCACAGTAACGTGGATGATGATGATCAACATAGTGGCGATCTCGCGAAAGAACTATTCACTGCAAGATACATATATGACGATGTCTGCGTACGCAATGGGTACCGAAGTGGATGGTATGAAGAGGTTCAACTGAAATCGAACTTGTGCTCATTTTAGGCCCACAGGCTCATCCAACTCAATGAAGATCCTTGGTCTTAATATCTGCGAGTCGCATGAAGAGGATACCAATGAAAAAGGTAATCTTTTTGGTAAGCTGACTGAACTTTTAATGGGACGGATATAGTCCAACGCATAGAAATACAATGAGCACACCGGCATAGTTGGACAAATTGTACGAATGAATAAGGACGCTGCGGTGAAAATGACCTTCATTTCACCAGCCATGCATGGATAATGGAAGGAAGTGCGCGCGAGAACACAGTGGATCTACCAAGCGCAGAAGGACCTATCTACAATTGCTGTGAGAAACTTACTTGCGCAACCTCGCAAATTAGAGTGACTATGGGACAAGTTTCTTGACCCGGAGGTGATTTCGTAGCTTTTGATACCACACCCATGATTCTTCTATTGAAGTTTATTGGCTCGAAGCAATTACAGAACAAACAAAAATTCGCTAATTAAGTGTATTGAGATACCCTTATTCAGTTGTCCAGGCTATTTACCCGAATCGATAGCAGAACTTTTCTGGTTTAAATAAGCGAATGCATTTTCTGCAATGAAAATGCAAAATGAGAATAATTTAAACCCTTGATTGAGGAATTCCTACCTACTTTGGCTATGTCAGTCAAACCCTCAAAAAATTTGAATCCATGAACTTTCGCCTTCCTCTACGGAGTGTGTGGTATTTGCTTAACAGCTGCCGCAAAAGTTTCTGGCTTCTCTTCAGCATGGGTATACCTTTCGATCGCTTCTCGTTCCATTTCGGCCACATGAGTTTTGTATTACTGCAAGTGGGGATACTAGCCCACCTATCACTTGCTTGTATTTAGAGATACGTCCCTTAGAATGCGATTGCAGGCAGCGAGCGGTATGCCTAAACCCTTCCATATGCGCAAGTGGAAGAGATGTGCTCCCTTTTACAAGTTCGTCCGCCTTCTGGTTGCCGGGTGAGGAAGATACCTAAATTCTTTACCTGGTATAGAAATACTACATATATCTATTTGAAAAGTTTAGACTTGGTACACAGTAATCCGTTGCAAAAAGTTGAGTAGGACACGCCTATTACCATCACACAGAGTTTGTGGAACTTTTCCGCTAACAACCACCGCAAGTTAAGGCATTTAGAATCAAAAGTCAAGTTTTTAAATTGTTATTACTATAAAGAAGAAAACACCGTTCTTTTCATTTATTGTTATTGCATATAAATTATTGCTTTCACATGTTAAAATTTTAGTTCTAATTTTTAATATTTTTCTTTGTTATAATAAAAGCGCCAGGCTTAGAGAGTAGCCATATGCGGTTCACAATACATTCAGATATTTTTTTTTTAAACTAATAAAGTTGCTATACAGTATACAAAGATTCAAGTTACATATTTTATTTTCTTCATGCATACAAATATTTAGTACAAACAACAAAGTGCCTATGTATTTATTGTGTGTTTTTCTTGCTCATTGCTTTGCTTCAGCATTTCTTTGATTTGTTGTCTTATTATTACTATTATTATCCATTGTATTGGGCTTTTTAACATAAAATAAATAATTCGCTTTCATAAAAAGTAAAAAAGAAAAATAACTTATTATACAATAAACATTCGTATTAAAAAGTTTGATAATTTTTGATGATAATTTTCATATACATATGTATATGTACATACATATGTACGTATGTACATAAATATGTAGGTATAAACTTTTATACATATAAATTCAATTATAACATGGTTATGTACATTTGAGCATCTTATACCATATATATATGTAAATGTACGTATGTATGTATATATGTGTGTATGTATATATTTTTATTTACTAACCTACTTACGACATAATAAAGAAGTTTTTGTTAACATAAGCGAATTTTTCACATATTTTTTTGCTTTGCTTCCACTTGGCAGCGCATTTTTCATACGACTAAATTGAGTTAGGATGTAAAAAAAAATAAAAATAAATTGTAAATAAAAAAAAAATATAGATTTTCATGCTTAACGTATTTTTTTTACATTTTTTCGACAAAAATGCCGTTTGAAGATTTATCAGCGTGCGTCTATCAACAAAATTATGATTAGTTTTGTTGAACGAAATAAAAGTGATTTTTTTCCAATCAGCATAAACGAATATATTATTATAATATTTCGAATAAAAGAAATGTGTTTTTCTTGTTATAAATTGCAATATTAATTGTTGAAAAAGTCAAATAGTATAAAACTTTAATTCATATGCGAACGAAAATTAAACAAAAAAATCGAATTCGTGGATATACATATGTATGTAGTAGCATACAAAATAATAAATTTCTGGTATGCAGTAAAATGAAAGCGTCGATTTTTTAAGCAAATTTGCGATCAAATTGTGCTTAGTAAGTGCTGCGCCTGAAAGTAGGCTAAGTTTTAGAATGCATTCGGAGTGCGGTGCAAATTTTTGGTATTGAATGCATATTTTTTTTTTAATATATTTGTTTCTCATTTGGAATATTTTTATGTAGAGTTGACTCATTTGGCATTTTTTTTTAGTTAAATTTATTTTTTAAAGAGTTTTTTATTTTATTTTAGCCATTGTAATTTTTAAGCATTGACAAAGCCATTTATTACTATTAGTTAAGTCAATTCAATTTATGTATCTACATAACTTCATCGTGTTACATGTTAAGGAATATGTATGTACATATGTATTTATTTACAGTTAGCGATTCCTTTGAAATCGAAAGATTGGAAAACTCGAAAACTATTTCACACAAATTTTGACAATTATGTGCGTAAAAGTTTCAAGAATTCGCGGTTTTGGGCACACTTTTCAGATTAAGGGTGTGCTCCCTAATAATCTTTTACTATTTTTTTTTGCAATAACAAAAAAATTAAAAAAAAAAATGAAATTATTTAGGCACTAGAGTTCGTTGAATTATCGCGTACATATGTTTGTATGCATCTGACGCATTATAACAAAAAATACTTGTGCAAAAAATGTTGACAAAAAAAGAAAACATACATTTTTTTATTTTAATTTGTTATACGCAAACCTAACCTACAAAAAAAAAATGCAATTACATGCATCTGTGGAAATACATACATATTTATGTATGTAACTGTGTTTTGACTTTTGTGTTTGGATCAGCCAACGGAAGAAAGGAAAATTAGTAGCGAGTTAATGAGCTAGAAAATGATACATAAGTAGATATGTATATGTACATATGAATATATATTTCTAAATTTGTTAAATCAGTAAACTAAATTTATCTAGAGGAATATTAAATTTCACTGAGAATGCTTTTTTAATTTTAATTCAAACTGAATGAAATGGAAAGCTAAGAAATTTGTGTCGTGGAATGAATATTAAACATAAATTTATAAAGAAGATACGTTTATGGAACCGGTTAGCTTGAAATTCTCGCTTGAATAACAAAAAAAAAACTTTTTATAGAATTGAAATCATTGTGTGCACAATAATTTAATTTTTTTTTTTTCAATCGAGCTATCCACTTGTGAATGTAATTTGATTAATTAATATAAAAGCCGTGTCAGATGAGAGGGCATTGCCCAAAAATTTGGCGTGGAAACTTATAGCATAATCAAATTTTTGTTCTTTGGCCCAAACATGACAAAAAATTTTTCATAAATTATCTAAGAGACTTTGAAAATTGATTTATGTATATATGTATACAGACAATGTTTTGTACCAATCGTGTCACTACTCAAGAAATTGTCGCGGCCATTTGATATTTTTTATGCCAATAGGTAAAAAAAAAATACAAATTGTTACAAATGTAGCAATCGTGTAATTTGGGCTTACATAAAAAATACAAAAAAGGTGAAATATACAAATTAAAACAAAAATCATTTTAATAAATGGAAGTGAAAGCACTAAAAAAAAATAATTTTCAGCGATATAAAAAATTAAAAAAAAACTATTTACCAAAAAAGAAATTAAAATTTCAATATTTCTTTTTGGAATTTAATGAAACAATTTTTTTTTTAATGTCGGCTCGAGGTCAGGGTGTATGCTACATTAAAACACATTGAATTGAAAATACTAAAAAGTAAATATTAATTGATTTTGTTTTATATAATTTTCAAAATTCATTTTTTGAAACTAGTTATTTTAGCTTAAGATACAATCTTATTGTAACAACGCAGCTAAAAAAAAATATTACATTCGTGGCTAAGTAACAAGATATTTTTTCTTTAAAGAAAACATATGTATGTATGTAGTTTTCCACATTTGTATTGTCTACTTATATACACATGTATGTATGTACGTCTAGATAATATTTGATATTTTAGAAAATTTGTTTGACATTGCTTCTCAAGTGTTGCACGAAAAGTCCCATTAAATGAGTTCAGCAATGAAAGCATACAAAATTTAAGCATATCAGCAGGGCGCTTGAGCTTAAGACTTAGTGACGTTACACACACTACGTGCATGTACATACATAGACCATTTCGCGCTGGCGAATCCGACAACTTAAACGTGCGAAACGGAACTTACGTTCCCACGACAGTTGGGTCTACGTAGGCGTAACGACTCAGACTTATATCTGGAAAGGACTGTCACACACGTCAGCAGTCGTCCTCAAACGATCTTTGCGGTTGTTTTTTTGTATGCTGTTAAAACAAAAACAAGAAGATTAACTCTTAAATGCTATGAACCTTTCTGTACATGAGAAGAAGGTTATCGTTTTTTTTTTTTTAACAATTTTTATAGGTAAATCAATAAATTAATATAAACAAAAAAAATCTTAATCTCTAATTATTAATAATAGCTTGGCGCTTACACATATGTTAGTGTTACGCCGAGCTTCTCCGCCGATTTGTAGCATGCGCCACAAAAAGGGGAGGGACCTCTGATTACACCCCGGGCTAGTAAAAATCTTAAATTATTAGTACTTATTTTTCTCTTTCGACCAGTTTTTGGAAATTTCATTCAAAAGTCTTTTTTTTTAGTAAGTTTAACTGTTTGCGTTTTTTGCTAAAATAAATTACAAAGATTCATGAATGTAAGTCACTTAAAAGCTAATATTATTATTATTATTTTCTTTTAAATGAAATCTCTTAAAAAGCATACCTTATATTTACATATACATATATTTTGAGTGCAACTAAAATATTTAAATATTTAATGTTCTGTTTGTTTTTTTTTGGCGCAATGGCTAATAACAGCTCAAAGTTTTCATTGAATGGAAGTGTACTTATCAATTATATGTAAATAAAATATTTATAGTATGGAAATTGCATTTTGGTGGGTGGGATAATCTAATAAAGAATGTATAAGTTGCTTATGCATCTATATGTCTGTGTGTGTGAATACAAGTACACACGCAGTTCATTTTAAGAAATTCAAGTATGATCTCGTTTTAATTCACTTTAAACCTATATATATGTACGTATGTAACTACACATCGTCACCTGAAATGCAAATATGTAGTATTCAGTTACGACTTTTATGTTATGAACGCAGTTAATTCTTATATATAAATAGTAAGTGTTGAAAGTTTATTATTATCAAATTCATTTTAATAAAAAAGAAAATGTAGAATGAACATATGCTTGTTTGCAATTTCTTGTGTTCAAAATAATCTGAATTTAACTTAAGGATACAGAAAAAAATGTAACCTAAAAATTGTATTATTAGTTATGTTATTCTATTTTATTTAGTTTTAATATATTTTATTTCTGTTTTTTTTTTTTTTTGTTTTTGATTTCATTTGATCTTGTTGCAATTTCTTTAATTTAATTTTTATTTTATATTTTGTTTTATTTAATTTCGCCTTATTTTATTTTATTTTTTTTTTATTTTTTGATTTAACTCCATCCTATTTTATTTGATTTGCTTGTTTAATTAATTTAATTTTCTTTTATTTTATATATTTATGTTTTTATTTAGGTTTTATTTTAATTTTTTTGTTTTATTTTATTTAATCTTATTTTATTTATTAAAATTTGTATTTAATTTAGTTTCATAACTTATTTTTAGATATGTTGTTTGATTTTATTTTACTTCTTATTTTATTTAGCTTCGTGTTAATTTATTAAATTTTTCCTTAAAAGAATGTTTATTATTTTTATTAAGTTTGATTTAATTGTTTTTTTGTTGAACTCTATTTGATAGTTTTTTTGTTTTTATTTAATTAAATTGGATCAAATTTTTAAAATATTTTTTACTTTATAGATACATAGCCTTATTCATAAAAAAAAGTTGCTTTACAAAAGGTTTACAAGGTGAAAAAATGTATGAAGACGTCAATTTATAAAGCTTTTAAACCTACTTTATTTTTTATGAATAAGGCCATTTGTTTTTTTTTATTTAATTTAATTTTATATCTTATTTTTTCGATTTTGTATTTTATTTATTTTATTTTGATTTGTGTTTTTTTTTATATTTTTATTTAATGTAAATGATTTTTTTATTTATTTTAAACATTTATTTTTACCATTTGCATTTTACCAAATATTAAATTTTGTTATTTTCTCCCAACTGTTTGTACTTGTATATATACATTTTTTTTATTTATTTATACATTTTCTACTTTTACACTTGCACCGTCAAGGTATTAAGTCGAGAGATTGCCTTATTTTAAAAATCGATATTTATTTTCAGCAATGTCTATGTGAAGTATACAGCTAAAAGCATAAGCTGGGCATAAATACAAGAACGTGAAAATATATACATATGTACGAGACTGTGTATGTATTTATGTAATTTCTTTTTATTTGAAATTCTCCTTTTCAGCGTCTAATTTAATAATAATAATCTAAGAAACAATTAACTTATAACAGTGTTTTTCAAAAACACAACTTTAACTATTTTAGTATTTTAACAAAGAAAGAAGAAAATTCATTAAACGAATGTCAATAAAGTATTAAAATTAGTAAAACATCGAATAGAGAAACAAATTTAATGGCAAGTCAATTACAAAAAAAAAAAAAATATGCATATTAAAATAAACACTAATTGCTTCTGTAATGGAATTGGTGGTCAACGTCATATAAGCGTTTAATAAAGGCCTTGTTTAAATTAGAAATTCATGCAAGTATGAATATAAATTGATTCTGTTGTCCATAGTTGGTATAGTATGCATTTATGTATGTATGCATGTATGTACATGTGCACGTATGCAGTTAAAATTTGGAATATTTGTTGCAAATTCTCTTTCAGAAGTCATCGTCCAACGTTGTGTATATTTACATAGAACTTCTGTCCATTGTGGCGGCAGACCATTACGCAATTTTCAGTTTTCCCAAGCACACACACACACTGCGCTCTCCTCGCGTTCGCCTCACACAGTCCGAGCATGTTCAGCCTCGGCACCTAACTACCTAACGCCACCTTCTTCTCCTCCCCCGCCCCCTCCCCTCCGGGTGCCCTTCTGCTGTTACGTTTCCGCACAGTAGTAGAGCACAATTGTGGGTGGCTTTTGGCCTACAATGTACGCTATCGCCTTTGACTATTTGGCGCTACTACTGCAACGATTCCCACTAACCTCAGTGGCATTTTGATTGACGACGATGTTGTTGCTGCTACTGCTGCTGGTAATTGTGCTAATATCTGAGTGATTCACATGATTGCTATCACCGGCAAAGGCATATGGACTGGCGCCAGTGGTGGTGCTAGGACTACAGCTGGCTGCGAACATTAAATCGTCAGCATGCTGTTCTTGCTGTTGGTGCTGCTGATGTAGCTCATGTTCTTGCTGCTCCTGTTCGTCGTCCTGTGTTTGCTCGTGCTCCTGGTCGTGTTCGTGCGCCTCAACATCCTCGTGCTCCCCTTCCGCCTCTGCATTTTCTTCTTCATCTTCAAATTCATGCTCTTGCTGATGCGCAGCTACATTATCGTCGTCGTCGTCGACACTAGCCAACGCCATTGCTGTGACATCTTCATCATCATAGACTTGTGGTTCGGCTGTTTGTGGTTCTAAATCTAAATTTTGTGGCGAATCGTCTTCAAGCAGCTGCTCCAATTCTTGCTGTTCATCGTGTTCTTCTGTGTGCGGTTGTTCAGTTTCCTCTTCTTCTGCTTCTGCTTCTGCTTCTGCTACGTGCGACTGGTGTAGTTCTTCTTCTCCAGCCATGGCTGCGCCTGCCTCTTCCTCCACCTCTTCCTCCTCATATTCCGCCTCTGCCTCTGCCTCTGCCTCTGGTTGAAGTTGGTGGTGCTGCTCGTCCTGCTGGTCTTCTTCATGATGTTGCAGCTGTAATGCATCCTCGGACATGAAAACGCCCAGTGGCAGATGTGTCTTCATGTGTGCTGTAGAAAATGGAAAAGTAAATGCGTTTTTAGTAATTACGACTATGTTTGAAATTCAATTAAAATTAGAAGAATGTAAATGTTGTAATAANGCTCTATAAAAGACCCCCCACATTAATTTTTCTTTAATATCTATAATGTACAGACATCGACCTGTTACAATTTTATTATATGTATAGATTAAGATAGTAGAGCAGCAGTAAGCCTGATGAATAGTATGTTTGGCTTGACACAAAGTACAACCTAGTACATGCAAGTACACATTTACTTAAGAAAGCAGCAAGCAAATGGCGTAGGAGCTTAAAACTTACAAACTAAGCGCCTAAACTGCAGAGATGTACGTACATATGTATGCATATAGTAGGCAAATGTAGACATCAACAGCGACATAAAGAAGATATATGTATCTGTGTATGGTTAGCTAGAAGCCAACAGCTGGCAAAATTTGTAGAGGCAGCTATTTATGTGCATATACATACATGTGTATGTATGTATGCATTCAACTATGTAGATATGTACATTTGAGTGGGTCGACTTAACTTAAATACTAATTATGAATTACATTGCGGATTATCTGCCTTAAATTATAGGTTATCCGCACAGGAGCCAAATGTAATCAATTAATTATAGAGTTGAAATAAGCTGTTGTAAGTACAAAAGGAGGCAAGCAGATGTTAAAGGAATTGGCAAAGTGCCACGCCTTGAATGGCAATCAGGCACTCCTACTTGGTTGGGCCGATCAAGCGGATAGATATTATAGGACAATTTGTTCCAAGTAGGCTTACTTCCAATCAACTCAATCAAAGTGTAGGGAAAATGGAAAAAATATGAAAAAAAAAATAAATAAAAAAATACAACAAAATAAAATACCTAAATTACTACGTATTTATAATGTAGTATTTTCCATAGCTACATAGTGAAACTCTCATTTAAGCCCCAAACATAAATTAAAATACTACAACGAAAAGCTTAACTGCAGTTCAGAGCTCATTTAAATCCAAGAATTTCAACATGAGGTGATCGGAAAGGTTTATTTCTCAACTTTTGATTTTTTCCCCTCGTTTGTTTGTACTTCATAAGAGCAATTACCTCCTTCGAGGCCTTTGAGTTTTTCCAATAGGTGTAAACTGCAGTTAAGGCTTGGCGGAAACGAACTATTACAATTGCATTTAAAGAATTAACAATTTGAATACTGATTTGTTTTATATTTCTGATAAAGTTATAAGCTCGCCAATATTTTGTTCCATTTTTTATTACTTATTTTCACAGTAGCGAGTTAATTCGGATTTTTTTTGGAAAAATTTGTGAACCTACTATATTTGATTTTAGATTTGCAAATTATTTTTAAAGCGCATTTGAAATTAGCTAATATCAACTCAATTAACCTATGTTAACTCCTACTGAGTGCCGCTTTCAAAGTGGAAAATTAACTCTCATTCGAAATTTGCCTCTTCAAATCTTTCATCCGGGGCGACATAACATTTACTCTTAACTTCAAGTTAACATTGAGAGCGAATGTCGATTTGAAATCAAATAAAAGTATAAGTTACGCTTGCTCAAGTAGCTTTTAAAATTTATTTTCACTTCAGGCACATTTTTTTTAGAACAAAATTTGTGTTTAAAGGGTAGATAAATTTTAAAACCGACTTGAGAAAGCGGATCTAATACTTTCAAAAGTAATGTTAGAGCTACATACCAAACATTTAGGATGTTGTGGCTTTCAGCGATAAAGCCGACTTGACGACGCTTTAAAAGCTCTCGGAGCTCTAGTCTGGTGAGAAGCACTGAACAGAAGCAGTAATTATAAAATCATAGGGTATACTCAGATATTTCCATGTTTCGGCATAAGGGATGGTGTAAACAGCGAACACCACTTCTAAAGCCGCTATCGAAGCCTTTGGATTGAAGCTAGAACTCAACATTGAGCACTCAGTGGTTTACACGGTGTATTCAGCTGTAAGTTTAATGAGTCACAAAATCGCTGAAATTCGCAACATCTGAAAAGTTTGGGGTGAAGCTCTAATTTTAGGCTGTATGCATAGAGTGGTGAGTACTCAGATATATCGATACAAATTAGGCAAAAATGACTTAACCAAATCAAAGCTAATTTTGGTGCTAGTAGAGGCGCAAATTGCGTTATTTCAGGACTTCAGATTTAGGAGTCCTGTGCGGCTCCCTGACCGCTGCGGTGTCTTTCAAACAGCGATGTTTGCCATAAAGAAGGCAACAACTTTGTTAAACTCGCAGAGCAATACGACTCAATAGGAAAACCTTACTAATATGCTCGTTGAAACCCAAGCTGTACTGAAAGTTATTGAGAATTGTTTGCCATCACTAGGTCATGTGAAAATGAATAGGAATTTGTCTCGACCGAACAGCCATTTTCGTAAGGCAGTGGGCCTTGGGAACCCGTTTTAAGACTAGGACTGGAGCCATGGATCATTCCCAAAGCGGGGAAGACGGGCCACAGTACTGCACACAATTTTAGACCAATCAGCCTCTCATAATGTCTTCTCAAAATAATCGAGAGGCAGATCACGCGACGTGGGTGTGTTATCCTAAGGTCGTTGCTTATACGGATGACTTAGTCATTCTGGTCGTGGGGAAATTCCTCTCCACGGCCAGCGAGATTCTACAATCTGCAATTAACGATCTGGCAGGGTGGGCAGAAAGAAACGGTCTGGGGGTTAAGCCCACTAAAACTCAACTTGTTCTATTCACCAAGCGATATAAAATAGACAAATTTCGAAGTCTGTCCCTAAATAGAGCAAATCTTCGAATTGTCGAAAGAAGAAAAGTTTTTGGGGGTTATTCGCGACTCTAAGCTTTCTTGGACTAAGCGAACTACCGAAGAGCGGAGAAAGAAGGCGCTCAATGCGCTCTACTCCTGTAAAAGCTACGATTGGAAAAGACTGGGGGCTGCGACCGCCGATAATACAATGGATGTATACGGCGGTAGTTAGACCTATTCTCTCCTGTGACGGTTGACACCAAATCTCATCTACTCAACTTGCAAAAGGTGCAACGACAAGCATGCCTATGGACAACGAGGGCGATTTAGTCAACGCCTCATGCGGCGCTAGAGACTCTCCTGGACATTCCATCCATAGACCCATATGTTTAAAGTAAGTAGTAGACCCATACGTTAAGGTAAGGGTTTCAAGGGTCACGCCACAATCCTCAATAAAGTGGGGGTGGAGTACAGCAACTGTGACTCTCAGGTCACGGAAATTGACTTCAATCGAAATTTCGGGATCCATTTTCCTAACAGAAGTGACTGAGAATTTAGTATTGCTCTGAGCGATGACGAAATACCCATATTCACGGACCGCTTCAAAATGGATATCGGAACAGGATCTGGCGTTTTTTCTCAGGAGTTATCTCTGTTAGAGTCCTATAAACTCCGGGGAAATGAGGAAGCCGACGAATGTGCTAGACAGGGATCTGAGATGGGGCTCGGGGAAGCGATGCAGATCGTGAAACCTCCCCTGCGATTTCTGTCTTCAGAATTCGAGAAACTTACTAGGGCAGCCACCAACAGTAGGTGGGAAAATCTGCACACCTGCAGAGTATCGAGCTCGCTCTAGCCACGGGTCGATTGACGAGGCTTCTAAAGATTTAAGAGTCTTCCACTATATCGGTAATGAGAATAGATGCAGAGTGGCAAAAGAAGAAGCCAAAATTGTGCTTTCATATAAGCGGCATTATTCCTTTTTTCTATTAGACAACACATTTATCAAAGACCTTTAAATACCTCATACTAACGAAACATGTTCAAAGTTCTACTTTTAACTTAATAAACGAGATGTAAAAAAGTAAATTTTTGTTACGGATATTGAAGTGCAATATTTCTGCTCTAGAAAACGCGAAATTCCCTTTTCATCAATGCTACAATAATAAGTGTGTATCAATTTTTCTCCTTTAGACGAAATCTTCAATCAACTCAATTTCAACTCCAATCAGCAAAGCATCAACATTTTCCAGTTAGCATCTACAACAAACGTGGTTTTGAAATGTTGGCGCAGTCGAATTTCTTTTATCCTTTTATTACACAAATAGTTTACTAATGAACAGATGAAAGACTGTGCAGACTGCGTCAAAGAAGTGAGAAGCAGCAGTAAAGCTATTTGCTAATGTGAAACTTTTTTTTTTGTTTTTTTGTTTTTGTTTTTGGATTTGTGAATCAGCAGCCGCCGCCTCCAATGTAGCAAACCATGGCGAGAAATAAATGAAGGAAGGCAAGGCAAGCAAGTTGGAAGCAAAGCGTCATTAAGTTTCTGCAAACTTATGGATGGCACAAACATATAGACAAACATTAACAAAGACACATTTAGTTCTATGCATGTATGTATGTATGTATGTAAGCACATAAACAAAGAAAGAATAATCATCAAGTATTGGAGGAGTGTGTTTACACGCCAACAACAAAGCATGTAATTACAAAAATCGTGCGCTGGAGCATGATAAACTGTGAAAGGAAGCGAACAGCTGCTTGAACAGGAGACAATTGGCGGGTGGCAGGCGACAGGCGACAGTCGACAGTCGACATGCGATGGGGTACAGAGACAATGCGATGCGACGCGGCGCGGTAGAGCATCGACGCACTAAAAGGACGCACTGACACTCGGCTTGGTAGAAAAAAAAAACAGGCGTTAGCAGCTGAATAGTGTGACTTTTTGCAGCTGTACGAGTATTTAAAATTGCAAACATGCTAGCAGAATCTAAACTTCATTAATGCGCGGTTGATGAGCAGCAGCAGCGCAACGGTGGGAGCTGTGTGTGTGTGTGTGTGGCATTGTGTGTGGTGCTGCGCTGCGCTATCGGAGGACATCTTTGATGAGTCGGCTGATGGGTTTGTTTTGATAACTGCACAGCAGGCGGTGAAATTAGTTTGCATTTGGGTGTGTGTGACTAACAACAAACGATCGATCGTGCCAATTTAAGGACATACACACACACGCATTAACCACCGTATGAAAGGTATCCTGCTGCTGTTTTGT